ATTGTCCTTTGCTTTTATCTCTGCTTGTTTCTATGTATTCTACTTTATTTCTTATGTATCTATTTATGAAGCAAGCTCAGTTAAGTTTAATGATAAAAAGAGAGTTTCCGGCCAAATTTTAAATAACTATTCTTGTTAAAATCCAAAGAAAAACCAGCAATATGATTGGTCCTGACCCCGTGTTTCGGCTTCAGTCATTTTCTCACGGATGTAATGTTGCATCCCTGTGTAATTTAAAAAAATACTTTAATTGTAATTGTTCGAATGAGCTCTTCGCTATGCTACATAAATTTACGAATTTAAGCACAGTACTCAATTAGAAACAAGGTTTTATCAGTTTGCAGTTGATTTGGATGTGACCGTAAGTTCTATGCTAAGAGTCTCTTTTCTCGAACTTCTCACTTGTGAAGCTCCCTTCCGGCTCCATTATTTCTGCTTAACATTGATCTTCAAAAATTTAAGTGGCATATGAATCATTATCTACTGTTTTTCTGGTTACTATATCGTTGCTTATTAATGAATCTATTTTCTAATCCTTTCAGATTCATTAAGCCATTGTGTCTTAGTGGCTTTACTGCCTTGCGTGCAGCAAATCCGATTTTTTTAAAATGTTTCAATAATATATCAATGTATACGCTTCTCTGTGTGTGTGTGGGTGTTCTTCAAATTGTCTTTTGTGGATTTTTAAATTTTATTTGAATACAGCAAAATTAATGAAATTATTTTCTTTTTTTTTCATGAGCCGGATGCAAACTGTTAAAAATTTAAATTGTTGAATCCTCGAATTCATTTAGATCGACCAATCTGTCTGAAGAAACGCTATTTCTTGATTATTACATTTATTTCTGTTTCTAAATTCAACATCCCGAAAATAAAATTATTTAAAAAAATTGATTTATTCATCGAAATATTAAAGGATATAAACGCAATAGTTACGAAATTTTGAAAATGTATTTCCGTGTTATTTTTTAGATCTTTCCTCAAGTACCAGATATTTAGGCATCTTCTTATTTGCAAGAAACACTTTCTTCAGATACTAAAAAGGAATTAATCTCACTTGTATTAGATTAGTGAAACATAACGAAATTAAGTAGGTTCTTTGTAAGATTCTAAATCCGCTATATTTGAGTAGACTTTTTTTATTTTAAATACGTGTTAAATATAAAAAAGATATTTGATTCCATTAAGTTTAATTAATTTTCTGTCCTGAATAAGACGATAAACTCCACACGCGTCTTGAGTAAGACGATAAACTACATCTGACAGCAAGACATTTAATCATGAGGTTTCGTGGAGTATAGAATCATTTCTTAATTGCTGGTGTTCCCAGGTCCACGCTGACCCCGAGTGGTAGCACCTGTCAGGGTCCCAGCTATGGGCAAATAGTTAACCCACCAAAAGGTGTCAAAACACTATGAAAGTATAAATATAGGTTTTAATACACATACTTTTTTTAAAAACTTTTAACAGCAATACATTTTTCAAAAAAATATATGAACAGCTATACATTTTTGAAAAAAATATTACCACTAATACATTTTCTGAAAAAAATATTATCAGTAATATATTTTTAGAAAAAAATAAAAATCACCAGCAATACATTTTTTGAAAACAGAAAATACATTTTTGAAAAAAACCTGATACCAGCAATAAAAATCTTGTCTGCATTAAATAACCCATTGAGGTTGATATACCGTAAAACTAAACAAACCAAACCAAACGGGTACTCTTTCGCTAATGTGGGTACTGTGTATGGATAAATTGCCCAAATGCCTGTACCCTTTTCTCTGGCTTTCGCTTCACACTTTAATCCCGATGATTATTTAGACAAAGCTTGAAAAATATATGATTTTTTTTCTTTTTTTCCTATACAAAACTATCACATTTGAAAAAAGTATACTTGCACATTAGGAAAAGAAGGTCATTATATATGATAGACAAAAAATTCTATTGTTTTTGCAAGAAGATATATATCTTTTAGAGTATATGTTAATTCTAACGATAGATCAGGCTCGGTGTTGATTCTTAGTGTTCCATGTTAAAAAGAAATAAATCAAGTCGATTTTTTTTTATTATTTTGTGTATGACCTGTTACCAAATCAGATTTTTGACACAACATGGTAGAAAATAATTGAAGAATTTAGGCTGAATTATCTTTTAAGCAGGTTTGCTTAAGTTGCACTTATAATAAATCTGTGTGTAGTCCATGTGGGATTAACCTGACCACACCGGACATGTTATTTGGATGACTGTGATGTAAGGACGTTTTACAAAATGGCTTGAATCTAGAAAGCATCTGTAGTCGTAATAAAATCAGTATGATTTATAGGAGAAAACAGGTTTTGAAATTCAGTGGACTTCTGTCAGCTTGTTTGAAAAACGTTCGCAATTCATCACTCAGTGATCCCTGTACTAAAAATCTTTGAAAAACTGGAGTCTATGATTCCACAAAATTATTATCTATTTTTGTAATCGATAGATAACATATATATATATATAT